TTAGTTTCTGTCTCAGTCTTGATTACATTTCTCGGAACCAGAGACCTGCTTCCCTACTCTTCAATGCACTTAATTTGGGCTGGATTAGGTGTCGTTCTTCTGGGCAGCTGTAGTTGTAGGTGGCTGGTGCACAGGGTTCGCCGTCCTGTTCCTGTATATTTGCCTCTTCCTGGCAGAATGAAACATCTGATCACATACCTTAAAAAAAACTGCAACCCTCTGCAAAAACCAGGGGAGACACGCTGCTTGCGGAACAGTAGAAAGTTTCACATTCTCTTTAGTTTCTGTCTCAGTTTTGATTACATTTCCCAGAACCAGAGACCTGCTGCCCTACTCTTCAATGCACTTAATTTGGGCTGGGTTAGGTGTCGTTCTTCTGGGCAGCTGTAGTTGTAGGTGGCTGGTGCACAGGGTTCGCCGTTCTGTTCCTGTATCCCAGGGGTCCCTAACCTTTTTGATCCTGCGGGCACCAGTGTAATTCTGACAGGGGGCATAGCCACAAAATGGCTGCCCCGGGAGGCAGAGAATAGTGGGGGCATAGCCACAAGATGGCTGCCCCGGGAGGCAGAGAGCCAGCCACAACACTGCTGCCGTAGCTTACGTTTAGTCACTCACAATACTGCTGCCGTAGCTTACGTTTAGTCACTCAGTGAAGATCCTTGTGCTGTGGTGGCAGATGCTGCCATAACAACGTCAGCAAAAATCTTTACAGCTAATAAAATCCCCAGTGGCCAGTCGGAAGTGCTGCTGGGCAAAAACTGCACCTGGCTTCTCCCATTTTCTAAAAACCTTTGGTGGGTGCCGGGAAAGGTGCTGAATGGGCACGATGCTGGGGTCTCCTGCTATATGTCCTAATAAGTGGTCCCACGAGGTTTGACGGCTGACTCAAGAGCTGAGTGCTTGGACATTACAAACTCGGGTTCAAATCCTTGCCCGGGTGGTCTCACTCAGCCCAGCCCACAAAGTTGTTTTTTAATTTATTATTTCATTCGATTTATTTGAAGTTGGAAATACAGCTGTGAGCTCTTTGTAGGAAGGGATGGGATATGAACGTTAATGTTCCTATGTGTAAAAGTCAGTTGCTTGCCTCTTTCTGTATTGTTCTGTAATATGACCAGGAAAAGAAACCAACCAGGATTAGACTCAGCAAATAAGGGTGAGTTTTTAGTTCTCGGTGGTTTCCATCGACTTCTACAGGACAAAGGAAATATTGGGACATGGTGGCATGTGGAACAAAACTATGTCAAGTCCGATACTCCCTCTAAGCTGTGGAATCTTGTGAGCAAAAATTCTACTCTGTGAGCTACTGGCATTAAAGTTGCGAGCGAGCCATTTGGCTACTGCATAAATACGTTTGCTCTGGAGCCATCCTTCCTCAGCAAGGACAAACATGCGTGAGCCGGAGGCTAAAAACCTGTGAGCTAGCTCACACTAACTCAGCTTAGAGGAAACACTGGTCATGTCACCTCCCACCTGATTCTTTTAACTGGAGTGCTGTGGGGTGGGGGGTTTGAATCAGGGACTTCCTGTCTGGATGATCTACCATGGGACCATGGCTCCTCCCCAGAGGCCTAAATTTTTCAATCAATGATCGAAATGGTCTTTTTTAAAAAATTGTTTTTATTCTTTTACTTAACGGTACAATTGAATACAGACGGAGGACTAAACACGAACATGACATATATAATACAGTATTTCACACAAAGAAGTAAGAGTTATAACCGTTGTGTAAACTGGATTGTCTGTAAACCAGAAGACTCCTTAATCAAATTCTTGGTGAACTTAGCTCTATTTCACTTATCTTTTTTCTTATGGCTACTCTGAACTTTTGCACCTTCGGTTAAAGCTGTATACCGTACAGTGGGTGTGGACTTACTCCTCTATTCCAGTAAAGAACGTATCTGGTGCGTTACAAGAACAACCACCTGTGATAATTGTGGTTTGTGGGTAATATCTCGTGTTTCGTCATGTAATTCACCACCGGTGACCAGAGCCTTCTAAATTTCATTTGTGTTATGTTGTTTGGAGCCTGGGCCTCTCGATTTAGATCCATGATTTTAACCATGACGAACTGTTCCCAGAGTTTATCATGCCACATAGATAACGTAGGAGGGTTGGGAGATTTCCATAGAGTGACTATTGTTAATTTAGCCGTTGCTAATAGTAGCGACGTGAGATTTCTCTTGTCCTCCTTCGTGGAGTCATCATCCCACTTATTCAATAGTATTGTTTCCGGCGTGAAGGTGATTCTTTGGCTGGTCATTTCCTGTATGCGCAGAGTTATCTCATTCCAGAATTTACTAATTACAGGGCAACTCCACCAGCAGTATATGTAAGAGCCTGTCTGCCCGCATTTCTTCCAACACGTGGTGTTGTTGGATTTGTTAATTTTGTTCAGTACCATCTCGTGAGCAATTTGAAATTTTATAGATGAAGGTTAAATATCGTAGATTTGTTCATTGGGGAGTCCCATATCAACTCCCAATCTTTGTCTTCCCATTGCTGATTTAAGTCCTCTTCCCAACGGAGTTGGTAACTTGACTTTGTTAGATTTTCTGTTGTCACTATCGCCTTGTAAATTTTTGACAGTATCCCTTTTGATTTGGTTGGGTATATCTTTATAATCCTCTCCAAAGGTGTCAGCTCCCTCCTGAAAGTGCCTTGTCCCACCATGTTTTCTATTAGGTTTTTCAGCTGTAGATATTGGTGCCATCGCGTTGGTGCACCAATACATTGATCAAAGCATTGTTTATCCTTAATTTTCCCTTGATGTACTAAGTCACATAGTCGGCTAAGGTCTGCCGCTTTCCATTCCTCAAATGTATTACAGTTCATTCCGGGAGGAAACCATGGTTGGTGCAAATAAATTGACAGTTGAGATATTCCAGCTGGGAGAAGTTTCTTTTTCCTATCCCATATTTTGATTGAAGCTGATAGGAGCGTATTCAACTTAATAGTTCTTGGCCTGTGGTTAGGCTTCATCCAGAAATTTTATTGTAGGCTGAAGGGGGACAAATATGATTCTTCTATTTGCATCCATGGCTTTTGATGATCTCGGTGAAGCATTGATACCACTTGTGCCACTATTGTAGCACAGTAGTACCTACGAAGGTGTGGGAAGTTTAAGCCTCCTAAACAGGAGGGTTGGTGCAGTATATTATGATTTATTCTAGATTTTTTCCCCTCCCAAAGAAAACGCGTAAGTGTGTTTTGCCAAGTACTTGTGTCCTTTATCGAGATAAAAATCGGTATAGTGCGGAATAGGAAAAGGAATTTTGGTAAAATAAAGCTTTTCACTAGGTGTAATCTATCGGCCAGAGTTAGTAAGACAGTATTCCATTTTGTCATATCTTCTTTTATTGTGTTGTGGATTCTTTGATAGTTATATTTTGCCAAATCCTTCAGATTGAGGGGCACATACACCCCCAAATGCCTCCAACATTCTGTGATCCACTTAAACTCAAAAGATGTTTTAATACTCGTTTCCGTTTGTTTAGAGATCTTGATTGGGTAGATTTCCGATTTCGCGAAGTTTATCTGTAGGCCAGACACTGCAGAGAAGTTGGACGGTGAGCTATTTAATGTTATAATGGATTGAACCGGGTTTGAGATATATAGCGTTAGGTCGTCTGCATACAAGCTAATTCTGTGTTCCTGTCCTTTGATGTCAATTCCCCTGAGGGTCAGTTTAGACCTCAATTCCTCTGCCAGCAGTTCAATAGATAGTGCAAATATTAACGGTGATAGAAGGCAGCCTTGTCTGGGGCCCCTGGAGATGTTCAAGTATCTTGAGTTGTTATTGTTAACCCTAACTTTTGTCCTGTTGTTTTTATACAAGGCCTGTATCCCTCTTAAAAAGTTCTCTCCAAACATATTCTGGCTACGTCTTAAGATAGATATATGTTCTGGAAAAACTTGGGATTCCCCTGAGGTTGAGTTTAGACCTCAATCCCTCTGCCAGCGGCTCAATAGATAGTGCAAATATAACGGTGATAGAGGGCAGCCTTGTCTGGTGCCCCTGGAGATGGGTTGGAAAATACCTGGAGACTTTGGGGGTGAAGCCAGGAGAGGGTGGGGTTTGGGGAGGGGAGGGGCCTCAGCATGGTAGAATGCCATAGAATCCACCCTTCAAGGCAGCCATTTTCTCCAGGGGAGCTGATCTCTGTCAGCTCCCCTGGAGATCAGTTGTAAAAGCGAAAGATCTCCAGGCCCCACCTGGAGGAGGAGATTGGATTTATACCTCACCCTTCACTTGGAGTCTCAGAGCGGCTGACAAACTCCTTTCCCTTCCCCTCCCCACAACAGACACCCTGTGAGGTAGGCGGGGCTGAGAGAGCTCTTTCCAGAACTGTCCTTGAGAGAACAGCTCTGACAGAACTATGGCTTGCCCAAGGTCATCCAGCAGCTGCAAGTGGAGGAGTGGGGGAATCAAACCTGGTTCTCCCAGGTTAGAGTCCGCGCACTGAACCACTACACCAAACTGGAAGCTGGCAACCCTGCTCAAGATGAGCAGAGGTGGTTTGCTGTTGCCTGCCTAAGCGTAGCAGCCATTTTTCTCCAGGGGAGCTGATCTCAGTTGTAGTTCCAGATTTACAGCCACCACCTGGAGGCTGGCAACTCTGTCAGAGAACCCAAAAGAGTAATCCTCAAATTGCTGATAAATCTCATACATTTTGGATTTTGTCTATTGTATTCTGGAATATAAGAAAATAAGTGACAAGACCTATTGGTTTGCTTTTTATGAATCTTTGTAAATCACAAGTACTTTCTTGGAGGGGTTTTTTTTAATGTCTGTAAATGAATAAAGGTGAAAGTTTCCCTTGTTCGAAAGCCAGTCGAATCCAACGCTAGGAGGTGGTGCTCATCTCCGTTTCCAAGCCGAAGAGCCAGCGCTGTCCGAAGACTTCTCCATGGTCATGTGGCCGACAAAGCATTAAAAAAAAATTAGTCTGCCCTGCAAAGGTGTTGTTTCACCATTCCACACAACATTTCCCTCCCAGCCGTGGCCAAACAAACCTTCCTGGCTTTCCCTTGGCAGGTGAGACCCATCATCACCATGGAGCAGTTGCTGTGGGTGAGTGGCGGCGTGATCGGGGAAGTGAACACATTCAGGATCCCCCTCATCGCAGCGACGCCTCAGGGCACCCTCCTGGCCTTTGCCGAAGCCCGGAAGTACTCTTCCTCGGACACCGGAGCGAAATTCATCGCCCTTCGCAGATCGCAGGACAAAGGTCTGAGAAACTGAGGGCTGTGGGAAGGGAGAAAGGGAGCGGGGCTAGACGTGTTTTAAAAAGCAGGGGGGGCTTCAGACAGGCCCTGAGGTGGTGAAATGTAGGCAGATAGACTGGGGTAGTTGGACATCCATCAAGATCTTGAGCTTGAGAGGGGAATCTCCTGCTAGTGGAAATAAGGTGTTTTTATATTGCTTTCTTGTCATGTATTCGATAAAATGCAGGTGAGGAGAATGATGTAAGCGGCTTTGGGTTCTGCATTGGGGAGAAAAGTGGAGTATAAATGAATTCAATAAATAAATATCTGTTTTTAACATTTATTGTTTTTATCCCATTGTTTTTATACTGTTGTTACCCACCTTGGGTCCTGAAATGCTTGGAAGAAAGGCAGGTATATATGTGTGTTTAAAATAAAATAAAGCTGATTCTTTCTGGCTTGGCTGTGCACACACACAACAACAGCAAACACCCAGTCCCCAGATCCCAGCAGGGGTCCCCCTGCTTTTAGGGGCCTGGATCTGCTGGCCGGTGGGGGAAACACCACCCCCAAACAGTGACGTCATTGCATCACCGATGTCAGGGGTGACGCTCTAGTTTTTGGGCAAAGTCTATGGTTTTGAAGGCAAAAAAACCCATAGAGTTTTGCCCAAAAACTAGAGCGTCACACACACACCCCCATGTCGGTGATGTGATGACATCACGTCTGGGTGACATCGCACCGCGTGTGCAGAACATCCCGGAGAGGACCCGAGAGCCCCCTGCTGCCAGCCAGATAGGACCTGGTGACCCTAAGCACCCAGTGTTGTCGATATTGTTCAGTTCCAGCAGCCAAAGATGCTAGAAGAAGAAGAAATAGGCAGGGAAATAATCAATAAAAGGGACAGGAAGCTGAAGTCACCACCACCCTTGCTAGGGTTGAAGGACACAGCAGGGTGTCTGCAGAGGTCATTTCGGGGGGGATTCAAAACCCAAGTTGAATCCCTCAGCAATGAGCTGTCTCAAGCTACTTGGGGCAGCACCTTGTGCCTTAAAGCTATCCAGAAGGCACTGGCACAGGATTGGCCATCATGGGTCACCTGACCCCCTCAAATAAAAACTACTATGGGCCCTGGTGTATCCCAACTTGAATTGCCAGACACTTTCTCTGTTGACCAGAAGCCTGGTAACCTCAAGAGTAAGGAACTGATGCCTCACCCTATGATGCTTCGCGTTTGGGCTGGGCAACCCTTCAGTGAAAACTTACATACATGCTGTGTCCATGTTAGCAAACCTTTGTGAGTAGACGTGAACTGTTGCCGCAAGTCGAAATAAGAGGGAAACCCATGTAAATGTCATCTCAGCCACTAACAGGCAGCTCAAGGAAGACAGTTACGTTCCCCCTTATGGAAGATGCTTTTGGGCTTTGGTGTGCCTTGAAGGGAGTGGTGGTGGCATGGGGAAAGAGATTTATACAACTGTCTGGCCACGGTGGCTCAGAGGTTAAGACACTGAGCTGCAGTAGCTTGGCAGTTCAAGACCCTAGTGCCAGGTGACGGAGCGAGCTCCCGTCTCTGGCCCCAGCTCCTGTCACCCTAGCCGTTCGAAAGCAAAGAATTGCAAGTAGATAAATAGGTACCACTTGGGTGGGAAAGTAACAGCGTTCCGTGCGCCTCAGCATTTAGTCATGCCGGCCACATGGCCATGGAGAAGTCTTCGGACAGCGCTGGCTCTTTGGCTTGGAAACGGAGATGAGCACCGCCCCCTAGAGTTGGATTCAACTGGCTTTCGAGCAAGGGAAACCTTTACCTTTACCAGCCTTTTGGAGGGCTTTAGGAACTTCCTCTTCTGTGGCCTCTCGGAAGAGGCATTCAGGTCACGGCCAGCAAGGGCTGCCCAGAGCCCTGATTCCCCCTGCTCCCAACATTTAAAGAAACACACAAGTACAAAGAAAAGGATGAGAGAGAAGGGATGAAACGGGCACCACTGACCTCTGTGGAATTTATTTCTCATGCATTGCTTCTTTTTGCCAGAAAGAGAGAGAAGGAGCTCACCAATTCTTGAGAGGCGGGGCGGGGGGGCGACGACGACCCCACTCTAGGAATCCGGATTTCCCCCTTTGCTCTCTTGCTGCTGCTGCTCTTGCTGTATAATTTAAAATGAAGCAAGCAGTTACAAATTCCTAGAAAGGCTACTCATCCTGGCTGTTGCAGGAGAATAATGTGTGGTAGATGGACTGCCTGGCTTCTTGGGCCTCCGAAGCAACCCAAGACCTGAGAACTGTGGACCCCTAGTCCCTCCTGTCTCGGTAGCCCGGAACATGTCAAGCTTAGAGTGTGACAGCATCTCACCTCTATAGGTTACCCTTTCAGCTGTACTATGGTTGCTGATAATTGGTGGGGGAGACCTAGGAATATTTTGTAGTAGGAGGAAGAAGCTGTGGTGTTAGAGAACACAGTTGGCTCTTACAAGGCACTCCTCTTCAAGGTCCTCCCCTCCCTTCCCAGAAACAGCTCTGTCCGCTTTACGGCCTAGGGGGAGCTGGGCGATAAGAAGAATGAAGTTGCCTGTTGCCAGGCAACGCTTCCAGGCGCCAGGGTTGCCACTTCTTGTCAACGTGGCTAGGGAGAGCAGGATTTAAAATCTGCTCTCTGCTATGAGGCTCACTAACAGTGCCATCCTAAGGACACTTCCTCGGGAGTACGCCGCAGGCCCAAGAAGGGTTCTGAGTAGACCCGTTTAGGACAGGTCTCGTGACCTTAGGCCAGAGTCTCTCAGCCAAACCCACCTAATGCAGATAAGGAGTGTGGGCATAAGATGGGAGGACCCAAACTATGTATGGCACATGAACAGGGTTGCCAGCTCTGGGCTGGAAAATACCTGGAGATTTCGGGGGTGGACCTGGAGAGGGTGAGATTTGGGGAGGGGAGGGACCTCTGCAGGGTATCATGCCATACATTCCACCCTCCAAAGCAGCCGTTTTCTCAAGGAGAACTGCTCTTAGTCATCTAGAGATCACTGTAATAGTGGGAGATCTCCAGGTGCCGCCTGGAGGTTGGCAGCCCTACACCAGAGTGCAGCGAAGGAAGGCCAGCATAAAAACAAAATCAATAATCACAATTATAACAATTTTAAAAAAATTACTACCTGGCCAGGAAAACCTTGCTGTCATTACTGACTTGGCCTATCGCAATGACTTATTGTACAGAAATCGGCAGTTGAAGCTTTTCACAGTGAATAAATCAACAATATTGCTTGTTTCTACCTGCAGATAGAGCAGATAGAAACCTGCTGTAGGCAGACAGAGTCTACAGCACTGGAGAAGGTCTGGTATGAAAAGCTAGCAACCCTTTTCCAGGTGCAGAAGTGTAAGACCATGAGAATGTTGGAGGAGATGTTTAGAAACAGTCATGTTCAGACAGTGTATTCCTCCCTATTCTGAAGAGGTTTTCTGTTTTCTATACAAACAGAGCCAGAACCCATCATGACATGAGAGCGTTTTTTCAGAAGTTTTGTCTCACTTGAAATACCAGTCTGGAAGGCCTCCCTGTTTGCTTCAGTTGCCCTGAGGGAGCACACTGCTCCTGACTGTTTTTTGTGTCTCTTTCCCAGGTGCTACCTGGAGCCCCACTTCGTTCATCGTTGACGACGGTTCCCTGGTGGACGGGCTCAACCTTGGGGCTGTGGTGGTGGACTCGGAAAAGAACATTGTGTTCCTGATCTACACTCTCTGTGCCCACTACAACCGATGCCCCGTCGCGAGCACCATGATCATTCGCAGCCGTGACGACGGGGTCACGTGGAGTGTTCCCAGGAACCTCTCTGAGGAGATTGGCACGGCCATGTTTGCCCCTGGACCAGGCTATGGCATCCAGGTGAGCCTGCACTGTGCCAGGTATGGGGACTTTTACAAAACGGGTGTATTTATTTATTTGCCGTGTGTGTGTGTCTGAAGTACCTTCAAGTCACTTCTGACTTATGGCAACCCTATGAATTAATGTCCTCCAAAAGGCCTTGTGGTTAACAGCCAACCTCAGGTCTTGCAAACTGAGGGCCATATACAGTCAATCCATCTCATGGGTGGTCTTCCTCTTTTCCTGCTGCCTTCCACTTTCCCTAGCATTAGTGTCTTTTCCAGTGACTTTTGTTTTCACATGATATGGCCAAAGTACAATCGCCTCAGTTTAGTCATTTGAGCTTCTAGGGAGAATACAGGCTTGATTTATAATAAATAATCTTTCAATTTATTGATCACTCAATCCTTGCAGAGCTGCTGGCCCTGAGCGATTTACGGTTACTCATTTCACAAGGGACTAACAATGCTTTATGGGGGTAAGGGAGGACAACACATATAATCTTTACATAGCACACGTTTTGCAGCCGACAGGGATTTGTTCAGTTGCAACTCAGACGTGATCCGGACGGCATTTTCCACACTCGGCTTGGCTTGGCTGGATGACGTCAGCTCTTCCTTTCCAGGACTCTTCGGGTCGCAGCTCCATACTGCCACCACCTGGCCGGAACGGCCCATTACAGGCTTCTTGATGCCGAAGAGATCTTCTAGGCTTTAGATCTTGACAATGCCCCCTTCTGTCCCCCGGACCCCCCCCCCCCAGGGGGGGGGGGGGGGGGTTTGGTGTGCCCACCCTCTCTAAGGAGTGGTACCCATTTTATCCACTCGCCAAAGCTTTCGAACCACTGGGTGGACGACGAGCTGGGGACAAGGCTGGTAGCTCACACCAGCGCGGGGCGAGAACCGACAGCAGTTCTGTTCACCTCAGATGTTACTTGTAACCAGAGGATAAATCCCCTGTGCCACCGCTCCCCTTTTAGTCTCGAATCCACATATTTGTCTTTTTTGGCAATCCAAAGTATCTGTAAAACTTCCCTCCATCACCACATTTCAAGTGAATCAACTTTCTTCCTGTCAGTTTTCTTCATTATCCAACTTTCAAACCCATACATAGTAATGAGGAATACTATGGCATGCAGTAACTTGATCGTGGTCGCCAACAACACATCCTTACTCTTAAGGATCTTTCCTAGCTCCCTCGTGGCTGCCCTCCCCAGTTTCAGTCTCCTTCTGATTTCTTAGGTGTGGTCTCCCTTTTGGTTGAGGGAATAGAAAATCTTGAAAAGTTTCAATTTCTTCATTGTCAGCCTTAAAGTTCTGTGATTCCCCAGTAGTCATTACTTTTGTCTTCTTGATGTTGAGCTGTAATCCTGCTTTGGTGCTTTCTCCTTTAACCTCCATCAGTAGCTGTTTCAAGCCTTCATTGTCTTCTGCCAATAATGTGGTGTCATCTGCATATCTCAAATGGTTAATTTTTCTTCCATCCATTTTCACTCCAGCTTCATCTAAAGCTAATCCAGCTTTCCTTAGGATACGTTCCGCATACAGATTGAAGAGACAGGGAGATAAAACGCATCCTTGTCTGACACCTTTGACAACTGGAAACCATTCTCTCTGCTGGGGTTGCTTCCAGGTGGAGGTTTTGTTCTGGTTTGGCATCCAAACCAGAGTGGGGGTTTTTTTGGAGTATGCACACAGTGGCATCTGTTAGTTGTCAGCTTTCTGGATTTCCCCCACTTTGCTGCAGTTTCACCAAAACCTGCTTTGACATGGTTGTTTGGGGGAAGATTGCGGTCCAAGTGCCTTTGCATGCTGTGTGGAAAGGAAGGTGCCAGTGTGGTGTAGTGGTTAAGAGCGCGGACAAAAACGTGGGAGAACTGGGTTTGATTCCCCACTCCTCCACATGCAGCTGTTGGTGTGACCTTGGGTCAGTCACGAGTTGTCTCCGAGCTGTTCTCTCAACGACAGTTCTCAAAAGAGCTCTTTCAGCCCCACCTACCTCACAGGGTGTCGTGGGGAGGGGAAGGGAAGGGGATTGTAAGGTGCTCTGAGACTCCTTCCGAGTAGTGCAGGGCAGGGTATGAATCCAATCTCCTCCACCCCCTCCTCTTTTTCTTCTTCTTTTGAAGGTCCCACCTTCATTGACAGCATTTCTCTTGACTTTGCTTCCCACAGATGCTGTTTCTGCCACACCACTGAAGAGCTTTGGGGGGACTTCTTTTTAAAAGTAGCAATTGCTAGATCGCTGTAGTGTTATAAAGAGCTATTGCCACGATCTGCTAGCTCCTCTGCAAAGATGTATCATTTAATGAAAAGGGCTAGAGCCTTTAAAAAAATGGAGGCTGGAATTTCAGAGAATTTCCAGATTGTGACAATAGAGCAGAAGACCATTATAACACTATAGCAGTCTAGCAATGGCCCTTTTTAAAAAATGGATGATAAAGCCCTCTGGTGGTGCAGGGGGGAATGGCAGCCTTGGAAGGGCTGATGCCAGGAAATTGTGGGGGAAACTGCCTTGTGGGCAAACCATTGCTGCTGTGAATTAGAACATAACATAAGAGAAGCCAATGTTGGATCAGGCCAATGGCCCATCTAGTCCAACACTCTGTCAACAGTGGCCAAAAATACCAGGTACCATCAGGACGTCCACCAGTGGGGCCAGGACACTAGAAGCTCTCCCACTGTTGCCCCCCCCCAACACAAAGAATACAGAGCATCACTTGCCCCAGAGTTCCTATCTATACCTTGTGGCTAATATCCACTGATGGATCTCTGCTCCATATGTTTATATAATTCCCTCCTGAAGCCATCCATGCTTTTAGCTGCCACCACTTCCTGTGGCAGTGAATTCCATGTGTTAATCACTTTTTGGGTGAAGAAGTACTTCCCTTTATCTATTCTAACCCGACTGCTCAGCAATTTCATTGAGTGCCCACGAGTTCTTGTATTGTTAGAAAGAGAGAAAAGTACTTCTTTCTCTACCTGTTCTTTCCCATGCATAATCTTATAAACCTCAATCATGTCACCTCTCAGCCATTGGTTCTCCAAGCTGAAGAGCCCGAAGCACTTTAACCTTTCTTCATAGGGAAAGTGTTCCAATCCTTTTATCATTCGAGTTGCCCTTTTCTGCACTTTTTCCAATGCTGAAATATCCTTTTTGAGGTGTGGTGACCAGAACTGTACACAGTACTCCAAATGAGGTCACACTATCAATTTATACAGAAGCATTATGATACTGGCTGATTTGTTTTCAATTCCCTTCCTAATAATCCCCAGCATAGCATTGGCCTTTTTTATTGCACTCACACATTGTCTCGACATTTTCAGTGAGTTATCTATTACGACTCCAAGATCTCTCTCTTGGTCAGTCTCTGCCAGTTCGGACTCCATCAACGTGTATTTATATTTAGGATTTTTGGCTCCATTGTGCCTCACCTTGCACTTGGCCACATCAAACCCCATTTTCCACGTTGACGCCCACTCGCCCATCCTCGACAGATCCCTTTGGAGTGCCTCACAATCCTCCCTGCTTTTCACCACCCTGAACAATTGCGTGTCATCCGCAAATTTAGCCACTTCACTACTTACTCCCAACTCCAAAGCATTAATGAACAAGTTTGCCAAGGCAAAGAGAACAACACAGAAAATTACCTTCACCGTGTAGACACAGCCGAGAGTTCGGCATCTATCGATGTCACTAGGGAGGGAATTCCATGGGGTAGTTACTGAAAAGTCTCTACTTCTGGCTTCACCAGACGTTGCTTCTATGATTCTCGCAGTGACAGGGTCAGAATTAGGGACTCCCCAGCTGCTCTTAACTGAGAAGGGATTATTGGGGAAGAGGGATCCAGCAGCAGTGTGCACGGGCAGGGAGATAGTGTGGAGATCATCCTCATTTTGGGCCGATTCTGCTCTGAGTTGCAGAAACGTTACGAGCCCAAGAAGGGCCGCTTGATTGTCTGTGGCCACGGGACGATAGACCGGGATGGGATCTCCTGTCTCCTCAGCGACGACCATGGCTGGACGTGGCAGTATGGGAAGCAGCCCCTGCACGGCATCCCTTTTGGTGGAATAAAACACCCCAGTGACTTCAATCCTGATGAATGCCAGGTGGGTGTGATCTGAAACGTGGGACGGTTTGGAGTGAGGACATCAGGGGCCATTCCGTCTCAGCATTGTTGTAAAGTGTTCACTATGATAAATACACTTGGATGGGTGCACTGAGCGATAAGACTATCTTGTCGCCACTTAGGAGAAACGCTTGTTTACTGCCCTCTTAGGGGATGACAAGAATTTGGCTTCCAGTGGCTTCTGACCCTAAATAAACTTCCTGTTCATTGACGGTGGCAAGGCGTTCCTGAATAAATCCTTGATCGGACCTTGTTTCGGGACGGTAAACGAGGGCGGCTTTCGTTACAGATTTCCTTTTCATGTGGGGATCATAATCACACCACTTAAAATTATAATCATAAACAATTTTTATTAACAAAAAACTTTCAGGGAATAGAAGAGCAGGAATTAACCCATGCCCCTCCTCCTCTCTCCCCAAGCAGAAAGGGAACTGTTTACAAATCAGTTTAGGAACGCCAGGCAAGTGCTGAAGAAGTAATTTATTGCCCTGTCCTGGATAGCCCAGGCAAGCCTGATCTGGTCAGATCTCGGAAGCTAAGCAGGGTCGACTCTGGCAAGTACTTGGATGGGAGACCTCCTTGGAATACCAGCGGTTGGGAGGACGGGGTGAGCTTTATTCAACCACCTCCCTGAATGTCCTCCATGTTCCCAGTAGGGGTCAGTCAGCAGAGGCCGCCATGACTTCCAGGTGCACACACAGTCACAAACACACACACATATATGAAAAAACACAAAAAGAAGTAATTCATTAATTAAGCACAAAGAAGCAGGAGTGGGTGTAAGGTTTGCCCCAGGCCCCTCAACAGAGAAAGCTGGGCTAAAAAAAATGTTTTAAATGAATTTAGAGTGGTGGAAGAAGGGCAGAACAATGGACACACACACTCCCGCCACCTGAATAGGGACACAGGATACTTATCTCACTACAGATGCTGATTTTTTTTGGGGGGGGGGCAGCATTTCCCCTCTGCTATAATTAAGCTGATGGCAATACGCATTGTGTCTCTACATCCTTTATAAGCATCCCTTACGACACCCCTCCCACTTTCTGACTAGAATCAAAGGACTCAAGGATCTCCATTTCTACTGGTGTCTGACGAAGGGAGAACATAAGAACCTAAGAGAAGCCAGTGTTGGATCAGGCCAGTGGCCCATCCAGTCCAACACTCTGTCACCCAGTGGCCAAAAATACCAGGTGCCATCGGGAGGTCCATCAGTGGGGCCAGGACACTAGAAGCCCTCCCACTGTTGTCCCCCCCCCCCAAGCACCAAGAATACAGAGCATCATGTGCCCCAGACCGAGAGTTCCTTTCAGTACCTTTGACACTCAGAAGCTTATCCCCTAAAATTATTGTTGGTCTCTCCAAAGTGCTACCAGACTGGAATCCAACTGTGGGCCCTTGTGTGTCTCCAAGGGCCCCTTGACAAGGATTTCCTCTGGGTCCCTCCTTCCACCACCTGCACCCAACCCAAACATTATTGCCCAGCTGTATGGACCCCCCAAGATGACAGAGACCCCTGGAGTTTGGTCCCCCCCCCCCCCGGAAAACCCCCGGTCCTCTCCTCTCAGCAGCCCTAGCTGGACAGGACTGACAGCCAAGGAATCGTAATTGGAGGGTATCATAATTGGAGGACAAGCATTGCTGCGTTTTATGAGGAATATAAAGCAATGTGTGGGTGGAATGCTGTTTTGGGATCTGGAAGCAGATCTGGAAAGGTCCATTCACCCAGCAAAATCCTCCAATTACATTTCCTTAAGCAGCACTACAGGTCTATAATGTGAAAGCAAAAGATGTTAAGTAGTGGGTTCAAGAGGCTGTCGTGATTTCAGCATAGCTCTTTATTCAGTAACACAGCAACAACAACACACGTGGCGAGCCGCGATTATATACAGAAACCCCAGCCCCAAACACACCCACCAAATATAAACAGATCAATAGCGACATAGTAGTTTGGATCCTTCATTTGCAATTTTTTTAAATGAATTCTAATCCTTCAAAAAGGAGCCCGGGACATCCTGAAGAGAGCAATGCCCCCTTGTTCCGGCTTTGTTTAGATGTCACCCCTTGGAATCCAAACTTTCAGACCAGCGTGCCCCAATAGTTTATGGTATCCTTCATTTTTAAATGCTAAGTCATAGGAGGGGAGGAGGCAGATAGTGTGGGGAGAGGAGAACGCATGCCAAGGGAACATTTTTATTTCTCCCACCCAAATCTTACCCTCCATCACCTCTTCTTCCAGCCTTATGAGCTGCCAGACGGATCCGTGGTGATCAACGCCCGGAACGAGAACTTCTACCACTGCAGTTGCCGGATTGTGGTGCGCAGCTACGATGCCTGTGACACCCTCCCACTGGAAAATGTGACCTTTGACGAGACCTTGGTGGACCCGGCTGTGGCTGCCGGGGCCCTCGTCAAATCAGGCCTCGTCTTCTTCACCAACCCGGCCCACGAGAGGGAACGTGAGTGGGAAATTGGGCGCAGGAGAGTGGAGGGTGAATGGCGCATGGCTGCAAGCAAGATCTGGCAGTCACAGGGACAACATTCTACTTAGGCTTGCCAAGTCCACCTGGGGGGCGGGGAAACCCTCGCCCCAGAGGCCCGTTCCCCGCCGGCGCCAGATTGGGCCCCGGGGGGAACTCCACCCCGATGTGCACGTCACCAGGAAGTGACGCGACCACGCCGGGCACGCTGGGGGCGGGGCCACGCTCTCCAGGATCGACCCGGGAGTCCCCCGCTTCAGGACGAGGTACAACTTGGCAACCCTAATTCTACTCTTTGGACAAAACTCTATGGTAAAAACGGTACAGACCATAGAGTTTTGCCCCAAAAGCAGAGTGTCATCTCCAACGTCGCCAATGCAATGTTGTCCCTTCCAGAAGTGATGTCAGTGCGTCACTGACATTGCACAGAGATGTCTGTTTTGGGGTGAGGTTTCCCCTGCCGGCCAACTGGTCAGCGGCGGGCCATGGCCCACAAAATTGTGGGATCCCCCCCCACACACACACACCTGGGGACTGGCAAGCCTAGGAGGATGGCAACCCTATCTGGGATCCTATCGCACACTGAAGGAAATCTCTATTGCACAAATACTCCATGCAAGTCTTTTTGTAGCCTGTAAAGCCCTAAATGGCGTGAGTCCAAAGTAGCTATAGGACCACCACCTCCCTGTGTCAATCAGCCCATCCATTCATGGGAACCAGCCTTAACTGGCACGGTACTGAATTAGACCCTTGGTTTATCAAGGTCAGTATTGTCTGTTCTGACTGGCAGTGGCTCCCCATAGTCACGGGCAGAGCTCTTCCACATCACCTGCTCCCAGATCCCTTTAGCTGGAGACTCTGGGACTGAATCTGGGAACTCCTGCATCCAAAGCAGGTGCTCGAGCTCAGAACCAAACACACACACACACACACCCAGCAAGCCTCCCAGACCAACCTGTAAATGGTTTCTTTTCCGGAAGGTTTTTGAGCTGGATAGAAAAGGAACGTTAAAGGGGCTGTTCTCATTCACCAGTGTGATGCTTTAGATGGCTTTAGGAACTTGGATGAATTCTGACAGGGACCGTTTCATTTGATTGCAAATCCTTTGCTGCTTTGAGCACCTTTGGGTGGCCAGTCAGTGAATAAACTCAGATAGTCAGTAACCAGCACCATAAGGTAAAGTGTTCTCTCAAGTCGCAGCCCATAAAGTCCCACCTTGTGGGGTTTTGAAGGCAAGAGATGAGCAGAGGGGTTTTTGCTATTACCTACCTCTGCGTAGCAACCCGTAGCTGACCCTACTTCGCTTCTGAGCTCTGATGAGATCAGGCTAGGCTGGTGAATGTGACTCTGCACACGAACGTGACACCGCACTCTCTCCCCCCACACACCCCAGGGGTCAACATGACGCTGCGCTGGAGTTTCACCAATGGTTCGTCGTGGTGGAAGGAGGCCTTGCAGATCTGGAGCGGCGCCAGCGGTTACTCCTCCATGACGGCATTAGACGGGCCGGCGCCCGACGACGCCCACAGCCTCTTCGTCATTTACGAGAAGGGCCGGGTCGAGACCACCGAGAGTATCTCCGTGGCCAAGATCAGCATCAACGGGAAGCTGTGACCACAGACGGTGTCCTCTACCAGATCCTCTTCCCCGTGTGCCTTTATCACTCCTGATCCCTTGGCGGGGTTAGGATAGAAGGGAATTTGAACTGGAACTAAGCGAGAGGAAGCTCCCCCCCCCCCCCCGTTTAGGACTCTCCAGCCGTGGCTGGTGGGGAGGGCAAAAAGTGCATTGGCAGGGCACCAGCAGCTGTGGGAGTGGGGCCAAGGGGGTCAGGCCGGTCTGTCCTCCAGTCACACCCTCTGCTCTCCGTAGTCCTCCCCACAGGGACATCGGGAGGCCAAGCTTTTCCCCTCTCCCTTTCTCCGTGATGCCAAGGCTGCTAGTCTACCTCAGAAGCGCTCCTGACTTCAGATGCTGCTATTGGATTTCTGAGTGGAAGGGCAGAGATGAGGGGCGGGACGAAGCAAGCGAGAAAGAAGAAGAAGACAAACAGACGACCAGTAGCAAATAGTCCTTCAGCCTGGATTTGCTGATCATAGGTGGAATCAAAACAGAAGGAAGAAAACTGTCAAGATTTGTAATTCAATAAATTAATTATGCACTTTTATTTATTTTCTCTTCTCTGTGTTGTTTTTGTTTTTTTTAATGGAGGGAAACGATCAGAATTGACTTGCTGGATCAGACCCTTTAATCAGCCTGGGAGTTCACAAGCGAGGGGCGATGGGAGGTGGTGCTTTGGGATGCTGAAGTGCTCTTGTTCACTCCCCCCACGACTGATCAAGTGCCGAAAAGCCACCCTCCTTGAGGTTGTTTCAGCACTCGAAAAGGCACAAGGGGGTGGGGGGGTGGGGGGAGCTCCGCACTGTGGTCTCGCCCTTGTGGCATTTTTAAATTGCCTTTAAAAGATGGCATCATCTCTGTGGCGGCCATGAGAACACCATCCCATCTAGTTTGGGCCTAATTTCGCTGGCTTTAAAGGGGGATTAAAGGTATTTCGCTCAGGATGAAGTCTAGGACTCCCATCCCTCTGCTTGGCTCCTTGATCAATTACTCCATCTAGATAAGTTGTTTTTTCTCCCTCATGACTTTGAA